GCCCCCATGACTACCTTTGGCCCACCTGAATAATCCAGAAAGATCTCCCAAGCTTCAGATCCATGGCCTTCATTCCAGAGGCAAGATTCCTTTGGCTATGTAACATGACATGTTCATAGGTCCCAGGGATTTGAGTCATTACTTAATTTCTCACAGCAGTTCCTTCTGTGTAGACTGAATTAATAATGGCAAATTGTAGGCTCTTTCAGGAAGATGGGGATCGATTATCACCTACCCTTTCCAACGTTACCAATGATTTGGTTTCCTTGGGATGGTCACAGTGTGCTGCAGGGCAGAGGTCAACCCCAAGAGCAGAGAGAGCTCTGAAGAGAACAGCATCTCCCCCACAGGCTCCCCACTGAGTCCTTTCCTCCATTCTGAATGGCAGGTGCGCTTCCTGGAGCAGCAGCACAAGTTGCTGGAGACCAAGTGGCAGTTCTACCAGAACCGCAAGTGCTGTGAGAGCAACCTGGAGCCGCTCTTCAGTAGTCACATCGAGATGCTGAGGAGGGAGGCTGAGTGTGTGGAGGCTGACAGAGGGAGGCTGGCTGCAGAGCTCAGTCATGTGCAGGAAGCAATGGACGGCTACAAGAAGAAGTGAGCATGACAGGGCTGACATAGTTATAAAGAGTGGAACAATTTGAGGGCATACATTCTGAGGGCTTGTATGAAGAAAGCTGTCATGAGTTCTTGTATATCAGCCCAGCTGTGCCAGCATAGATGGATAGGGAAAGGCCCTGGAGATATCTGGAGAATGATACAGCTGATGACATTAATCGATTGCAGTCACTGTAACCTTGAATCTGATCTTGGAAGATCAACATTCAAATGGGCCCATAGGGCAAAGTAATGTACCCACATACTTTTCAGTGGGCAGAGGTCTGTCTAGTCCTTAGGCATATGAGAGCTGGTAATTATAAGCATTTATTGCAGTTCACATTTCCCTGTAATTAAGATGTTGTGGAAACCTACTCTGGGAACTTTACTTTTCCTTGTCAGCTGGAGTAGGGGTAGGGGCTGGGGTGGTATCGCCCCAGGGAAGATCAGGCCAGTGGGAGAAGAGTGGGGAAATGTTGATCTAGAGGCTGCTTCTGTGAATTCAAGTCCTAGAATATGGGGTGGGAATATCAGGACTTTATACGGGATGACTTCAGAGAGTTTCATGATTAGCACCATTTTAGAAGTGAAAGGCTCCAAGGAACTTTTCACTCATCCTACAAATATTTCCTGTATAACAGACAGAGAAGCCAGGTACCAGTGGCTCTTACCTATAATCCTGGATACTCAAGAGGCTGATCTGAGGATCATGGTTCAAAAGCCAGCCCCAGCAGAAAAGTCCATGAGACTCCTATCACCAATTAATCATCAGAAAACCAGAAGTGGTACTGTGGCTCAAAGTGATAGGGTGTTAGTCTTGAGCTACCAAGTTCAGGGACAGCACCCAGGCAGGCCCAAAGTTCAAATCCCATACTGATGTGTTGAGAGAGAGAGACAGACAAGACAGAGAGACAGAGAGAGAGAATCAGAAAGACATAGAGACAGAGAGATTAAATGACTTGACTCTGGTGCTACTGTGATTGTAATCCAAACTGAGTTCACAGTGAAATGTTGAATTTTTTTCTCTCAGTACTGGGGCTTGACCTGAGGCCTAAGCATTGTCCATTAGCTTTTTATCCACTCAAGACAAGAGCTCTACCACTTGAGCCACACTTCCACTTGTGGCTTTTTGGAGATAAGAGTCTCATGGGACTTTTCTGGCCAGGCTGGTTTCAAACTGGGATCTTCAGATCTCAACCTCCTGAGTAGCTAGGATTACAGATGTAAGTCATTAGTGCCCAGGTCTTTAGATGGGTACTTTGTGGCTGGGAAATATAACTTCCATGGAGGCCATACCTCTTATCCAAGATACACAGAGAATAAGAGGAAGACCAGCGAGGGCTGCAGCCCTGAGCTCAGGCTGGCCAGCCATCCCCTGTGCTCTCTCTGTAGGTATGAAGAGGAGTTGGCCCTCAGGGCCACAGCTGAAAATGACTTTGTGCTGCTGAAGAAGGTGAGTGTCTCCTCCCACATATGGAGAATGATGTTGTGGATACTGGAGACTGGGTGTTGTGTCATGTTCCCATGAGTCCAGTGGTTGGTTGGTGGGAAGGCATTCAGCCCCCTGGCCATTGACAATGGAATGATTTGGTTGTGGAAGCCATCTTGGCCTTTGTATAGCAACTGAGACTGGTCTAGTGGAAGCCATTCTCATAGTTGGACTGTCAACAACCTGGTTAATTGAAATGTTCACTTTGAAATCTGTTGTGTGACAGGCATGGGTGGGTCACACCTGGAATCCTAGCTACTCAGGAGGCTGAGATTTGAGGACTGTGGTTTGAAGCCAGCCAGGAAGAAAAGTTTGTGAGAGTCTTATCTCCAACTCTGGAAATGGAGTTGTCATTTAGCAATAGGTTACACATCCAGGTTAGATTGTAAGTGTGGTATGGAAGGATAAGGCCAGGCCAGAGGCAGAGAGGTGGTTAGAAATAGCCATAAGGCATGCAGCATGCAGGGACTCAATGCGTAGTCTGGGCAAGTGTGCCCACCCACCCTCTTTGCCCTATCTCTACCAGGACATCGACAGTGCCTATTTATGCAAGGCAGACCTAGAAGCCAATGTGGAGTCCCTGAGGGAGGAGACTGTCTTCCTACAGTCCCTCTATGAGCAGGTAAGAGAAGGAAGAAGGATGAGAAGACATCTCTGTAGGGCTTTATCTGGTCCTGGTTCTTGAATCCTGGCTACAGTTTGTGTTCCCCTACTTTCTTGCCTTCTGTGACCAGATGGGATTTCTTTCCCTCATAATCAGACCTCCTTTCAAAATGGAAGTGGGTGATGTCCTTTGTTGTAGAGAATTTGAAAGACTGTGATTCATTCTCTGCCCACTTAATATGACAGGTGATTGATTCAAGAACTGTGAAAGCCAAATTGTAGCAATTCAAGACCTCAACTCTGATTGTGGTCAGCTCCAGCCCAGCCCTGACCAGGAGTTCATCTATAGATGCGGAAATCCACATACAAATTGACCCCTAATCCCCAGACCTGGAGCCATGGCCTAAATCCTTCCTTTCACAGCTAAGGTTTAGAATCCTTTGAAGAGACAGGATCAGAGGCAGGGTTTGCAGTACAGGCTACAGGTTGTGTCTCCCACAGGAAATCTGCTACCTTCAGTCCCAGATTTCAGAAACTTCAGTTGTGGTGAAGATGGACAACAGCCGGGAGCTGAACATGGACATGGTGGTGGCTGAGATCAAGGCTCAGTATGATGACATTGCCAGCCGCAGCCGGGCTGAGGCTGAGTCCTGGTATCAGACCAAGGTACAAGACAGGGCTGATATGGCCCATCAAGCTCCCCAGAGCGGCAACTGAGGGCCTTACTAGAGCAGGGGTGGGGCTTGAGGCCCCAGCAAAACTATGGGCTGGCTAGTCAGACTCTACCAGGATGTCCTACTAAAACTGGACTTTTAGGCTCCGGTTCCAACCTCCAGGGTTACTGCACATCAGGTCTTACCACTCACCCTAGCATGCCAAATAAAAGGAAAAGTATTGGTGAAGGGCAGAGACAGGAGACTTGTTTGAGGCATGGGCAGCTGCCAGAAAAGGCAAAGTGAACACTGCAGGCCACCTTCAGCATCTCTTTGGGGTACAGACATGAGCTTCGGGTTTATATATAAAACAGAATAGCCAGTTACCTGTGGTTATGCCTATAATCCCAGCTACTTAGGAGTCTGAGATCTGAGGATTACAGTTCAAAGCCAGCAAAGACAGGAAAGTCTATGAGATTCTTATCTCCAATTAACCACCAAAAAGCTAGAAGTGGAACTGTAGTTCAAGTGGTAGAGCTCTAGGCTTGAACATAAAAGCTCAAGGACAACATCTAGGCCCTGAGTTCAAGCCCTAGTACTGGCATACACACAACAACAACAAAAAAGATAAAGAAGAAGATAGACAAAAGAAAAAAAGGAAGGAGGAAAAGAAGGAAAGAAGAAAGAAAGAGAGAGAAAGAATAAGAAAAAGAATTAGGGCAGGGTTGAGAGGTATGCATAAGCAGTCCTGGTGAAGGTCAGGTGTGGCCTTGCTGCCCATTATCTCAGTTCTGGTTTGGGAAGGAGCTCTGGAGAAACTGTTACAGCTGTTTGTCCTTTGAGGGGAACCATCTGGTCAGGATGAACAAGTCATTGTTGCCTGTCAGGTGGTCTGTCCTAAGGAGACCCGGCTGCTCCCTTTCTCAGACGCAGTTTTCCCATCCCTACTTATAAACACATTGACAATCAGTTCCGTCTCTCCTAGATTCCAAGGTGACTGCAAGGTGAATGGCTCAGAAGAAAGACAGGTGCAGAGGGGAGACAGAGAAGCCAAGTGTGTCTCCTGCCTTTAGCTCATTCATAAAGCCCAAAGGAGCCAGTGCTTTTCAGTAAAATCAGTTGAAGTACCTCTCCCAAATACCATGATCTCAAGCCACCACCGTGTCTGTTTGTTTACCCTCCAACTGTAGTGTGAAGAGATGAAGGCCACCGTGGACCAGCAGGGTGAGAACCTGCGCAGAAGCAAGGAAGAGCTCAATGAGCTGAACCGCATGATTCAGAGGCTGACAGCAGAGGTGGAAAGTGCCAAGCAGCAGGTCGGGCTGCCCAAGGCATCTCTGCTTCTGCTCTGCCGTCTGCTTTGCTCCATTCTTCAGGGACTGCCTCTATCGTTGGAGAGGCTTAGGCCTTACCTGTGCAGGGGGCTTGCCCTTCTATGATCTGGTTCTCGTGGATTTGATAGGTGTCAAGTGTCATCTAGTTGTTAAGCTGAATTGTTTTGTTGCTCTGGTTAACTAGTGATGCAAACTATCTCTTCATGCACTTACTAATCACTTGCATTTCCCCTTCTGAGCATGGTCTATTTGTGTCATCTGCCTCATTTCCTATTGAGGCCCTGTCTTTTGTGTTTCCTCCCTCCCTTCTTTCCTCCTTCCCTCCCTCCCTCCACCTCTCTTGCTTTATTTCCTTCTTATTCTCTGTCTCCCTCCTTCCCATCTTTCCTTCCTTCCTTTCTCTCTCTCTCTTTCTTTCCTTCCTTCCTACCTTCGTTCCTTTCTTTCTTTCTTTCTTCCTTTCTTCCTTTCCTTCTTTCCTTTCTTTTCTTCTTTCTTTCTTTCCATCTGTGCCAGTACTGGAGCTTGAACTCAGGGCCTGAGTGCTATCCTTTAGCTACCACTTGAGTCACAGTTCCATTTCTGGATTTGGGGTGGTTAATTGGAAATAAGAGTCTCATAGACTTTCTTGTCTAGGCTGGCTTCAAGCCTTGATCTTCAAACCTCAATCTCACAATTAGCTAGGATTACAGGCATGTGCCACAGGTGAAAGATGATCTCATCTTCTTTCCTTGGTGAACTTGTAGCCTTACCTCTTGTGTTGTATGTAGATCAGAACCCTTCACCGATTATATACATGCTGCAATTAATTATCTTCTCTCAATCTGTCACTTGTCTGTTCAAATTGTCTGGTCTCCTTTACTGAGCAGACATCTTCTACCTCAGTGTGGACAAATCTTAATAGGCTTTCCCTTAAAGGATTATATTTGAGAAGTTTTTTTTGGGGGGGGTCCGGTCATGGGGCCTGAACTCTGGGCCTAGGCGCTGTCCCTCAGCTCTTCAGCTCAAGGCTAGTGCTCTACCACTTGAGCCACCTTCCCAGACCCATATTTGAGAAGTTTTGAAGTAATAAACATGTCTATTATCTCAAATGAATGTCCTCACACTTAGAACTTCAGTCCTTTTAAGCTTTATTTTTGTCTATACAGTGCAGAGGACTCTAATTTTCCTGCACATAGTAAATAGATTGTGTAATGCATTCTCTCACCCTATTTGAGACACCACCACACTGAGTTCACACACATTTCTGCCTCAGTTTCCATTATTTTATTTTTGCACGGCTGTTCTCAACTAGCTTATAAGATGCACCCCAGGAAAGCCTTGCTACTGTTAATAGCAGAGTGATGAAACATAGGGTATTTGTAGAAGTGAAGCTGAGAAGATTCAGAGTAGTCCCCAATGTAACTTGGCTCGGGGTCCTTTGCACTGTGGGTATGCTGCCCTCAGTGAGAGGGAGGGGCAACTGCCAGCTAGTATGTTGGAATGTGTTGCAATGAACCAATGAATGAGACCCTGCACAGCAGCCTCTGTCATATAGAAATACAGGAAAATGAGCTTGTTTTTCCCAGTAGTACAGGAACTGAGTCAAGAACTTTATGCTTGCTAGACTGTTCTACCACTGAGTCACGTCCTTAGCCTCCCCTCCCCACTTCTTTTATTTTGCTTTAGTTATTTTTCAGGTAGGAAATTGCATTACTGTCCTCTCTTTGCCTAGTCTGGGTGGCCTCAAACTACGATCCTCCTACCTTCCGACTATCTGAGATTCCAAGGCTATGCCACCAGGCTTGGCCCAACAAAAAGTGACCATTTTAAATGGAAGTAAATAAGGATAATCAAAGCCATTGGAGATCCATCAAGAACCCACATCACATCTGTGAAAGAGACTTGTCAACGATCAGTGATGTACAAACTCCTTTCCTTTCTCTCCTTCCACCAGCGCTGCAAGCTAGAGACAGCCATAGTGGAGGCAGAGAAGCAAGGAGAGGCAGCCCTCATGGATGCCCGCTGCAAGCTGGCGGGGCTGGAGGAGGCCCTGCAGAAGGCCAAGCAGGACATGGCCTGCCTGCTGAAGGAGTACCAGGAGGTGATGAACTCCAAGCTGGGCCTGGATGTGGAGATCGTCACTTATCGCAAACTACTGGAGGGAGAGGAAAGCCGGTGAGGACAACAGCTCTGAGATCCCCTAATGTCCACACCACAGAGCTAGAATAGGCCCTCCATAGACTAGAATCCTCTGGGTAGAGAAGATTTGAAGTGGTATCAGTTCATCCATTTTGCAGATAAGCTAAAATGACATGAGTTGTCTGCAGAAGCAGAGGAAAGTGACTCTGATGGCTCACTCACTCTTCTTCCTTACAGGTTGTGTGAAGGTGTGGGAGCAGTCAATATCTGTAAGTTTTGGTGCAAGGCTCTCTGTCTCTCTCTCTCTCTCTCTCTCTGTCTCTGTCTCTCTCTCTCCCTCCCTCTCTCTCTCTCTCTCTCTCTCTCTGTATCTCTCTGTCTCTGTGTCTCTCTAATCTTAAAATAAGATTGCATCTATCTGGGAATTGAGTGTCAGTCAATGGGGCCATAGGTGAAGGACAGAGCTGGTCTCTGGGAAATGGACAGATTAATGCTACAAAATATTTGCTCCTTCTCTGGGTGCTGTAATCCTAGCAACTCAGGAAGTTACAACCATGATTAATGGTTTGAAACTGTCCCAGGTAAGAAAGTCTATGAGACTCTTACTTTCAATTAAGCAGCAAAATGCCAGAAGTGGATCTATGGCTCAAGTAGTCAAGCACCAGTCTTGAGTGCAAAAGCTAAGGAACAGCACCAAGGTCTTGAGTTCAAGCCCCAGGATGGGCGCTAAGAATATATATATATATATATATATATATATATATATATATATATATATCAGAAATTGGCCCTCACATGAGTTCACCTAAAAGCTTACATCAATTTATCAAGAAGCTTATAAAGTGAATGGGTCAAATGCTGACCCCCTAATAGCCTAAGCTGTTCTATTGGTTTCATACACACAGTATGTTCCTCATGAGGCTCCTAGTCTTAATACAAAGAAGTGCTAGATTTATATTGTGATTCTCAGGGTCTCTGTAGCCAGTAACTCTGGTCTCTATGTTTCCACTGTTTACACAGCCTCAGCCTTTACCTTTCTAGCAACTATATTTCTAGATGATTCCTCTAGTGTGAGACATCAGTTTTTGCTAAACTAGTGTACAAACACATCTCAAAACCAGTCAGGTTTGAATAGAGTGAGGGATCAAATTTGTTACTACATTTCTTCTAGAATCAGATGGCTGTGGGCTTAGATTTCCCTATAGAGTGTTTTGTTGTTGTGTTGTTTTGTTTTGTTTCTAGGTGTTTTTTTTTTTTGTACCAGTACTTGGGCTTGAACTTACGACCTGGGTGCTGTCCTTTAGCTTTTCAGCTCTAAGCTGATGCTCTACTACGTGAGCCACAGATTTGCTTATGGCTTTTTCTTGGGGAGATATGAGTCTCATGGACTTTTCTGCCCAGGCTCACTTCAAACTGGTATCCTCAGATCCCAGACTCTTAAGTAGTTAAGAATATAGACGTGAGTCTCTGGCGCCCAGCCTTCCAACACACTTGTGTTGTTGGTTCCTCAGGACATGAAGAGAGTTAATCATTGTTTCTAAAAGGTTCTGGGCCTGGTATGAAGACACTTCTGACCTGGTGTCTCTGTCCACAGGTGTGAGCCGTTCCCAGGGTGGTGTGGTCTGCGGGGATCTTGGTTCCACTGTCTCACGTGGCCTGGGTGGTGTAGCCATCAACGGTGGTGTTCTGTGCTCCCTCTCTGTCATGGGGCCCTCCTTTAGTGCAAGATCTGGGAGGTTTGCATAGTCAGGGTGAGATTCTGCACAGTAGGGTCTCTTGGGGATAGCAGGGGGCCAGAAGCGGGACCAGAAGGGGAAAAATCTTTCTTCTTGTGACTAAAAGGTCAGTTTGGTAATTTTCCTTTTCAGGAGATGAAGTAACTGTCGCTTCCTTCTTGGAATTATAACTCATTCTTTTTGAGTGCATGCCATAGTTTGGGCAGGGAGCTAGGAGAGGGGGTGTGCAGGCTGTGGGAGCATCTTTGGGCTCTGCCTTTGGATGAGGGGGGCTGGGGATGCTGCCTCAGAAATGAAGACTCGGGGAGGGCACCGGGGCTGGGTCTTCACTGGATCTGAGAGATCGAATCTTCCTGGAGTCCCCTTTCTCATGAAGATGGGAAGACTGGCTGAGGAGAATCAACTGATCAACCAGTGGACCATTGGAATTGTATTGCATTTGCATGTGATGCCCAGATGGCTCCTGCTTTCTCTTGCTGTGCTGATTAAATGTCATGGCAAAGGTTTTTTCCCAAACACTGAGTGCCTGCTTCTATTATTCTCTTCTATGCAGAGCACTGATTATTTTGGTGCTTCTCAGGCTGTGGACCTATGGGGTGCTTCTCTTTGTCTAGGATATAAATCAATATATAGTTCTAGGAACAAGTCCAGGAGAATCCTGTAGGAACTAAATTTGGAAGACCATTGATCCAAGAAGACAAGGAGGGTCAGGTTATTTTGACTGTGGAAAGTGTTTCTCCCTGGTTCTCAGAGAAATGGCTTAGTTAGCCACTTCATTCCTTCTTTGCACGTGTGTGCGCATGTGCGCGTGCGCGCGCGCGCGCACACACACACACACACACACACACACACACACAGAAGGGTGGTATGGGGACACAGGCAAAGAAGGGGAAGAGAAGGGACCTTGCATTCATTAAGTATCTACAAAGTGCCTGACACTTCATGATTATCCTATTTTATAGGCAAGGAAATCAAGGATCAAAGAAATGGCCTCCCTAAGTAACCTAGAGCAGGTCACACAGCTGGTTGAGGCTCCAAGCTCAGGTCTAGGGTGCCAGTGTTTATATACCTTTCTACAACATTCTCTGATTGTCCTCCAAGTTCAACATGCTGGTTTATCAGATGTCCTGGACAGAGGGTTTCCTCTCTAGCTATGCTTTACTAGTTGACACTTCAGGAATAAGAGAGGGACAGTGACATAGCATCTGCAGAAACATCTCCCTGTAGTCTCTGCTTTCCTAGAGTTCTAGACAGGCCTTCTGAGTGGGGACCCAGACTTCAGTCTCATAACTCTGATTGGAGGATGTGTCCCTGATAGCCAGACAGAGGATGTTGATTTGTGAATTCTGTCCCTGGACCATTTCTGAGCCAACAGTAGTCAGTCTAGCAAGTCCTACCTGGGGAAGCACACCTGGCAGCAATGTGAGGAGGTAAAAAGAGCAGTTTCTGGTGGACAAGTTTCTTTCCCCTCTTGTTCAGGAAAGACTCGACTTCTCATACCTTACTTAATTAGGAACCATTAAAAATATTTAGAAAGGGTCACGTGGTGGTGTCTCATGCCTGTAATCCTAGCTACTTGGGAGGCTAAGATCTGAGGATTGTAGTTCAAAGCCAGCCTGGCCAAGAAAGTCTGTGAGACTCTCATCTCCAATTAACCAGCAAAACATTGAAAGTAGAGCTGTGGCTTAAGTGATGGGCAGCTAGCCATGCGTGAAAAAGCTAAGGGACAGTACCCTGACCCTGTGTTCAAATTCCAGTATGGACACACACACAAAAAATCTAGAAAAAGACCTGGATTGAATAGAAGATATTTTGCCACAGAATATATCTTTCATCTCAAGACATGGAGAAGCCTTTGGACAGCTCTCTGGGGACAATTCAGTCCTGAGGCCTTCTGTGTCTCCTTCTTTGGTTGGTCTATTTCCGAAAAGTTCACACCTCTCTCTTCTATGTCTCCTTCTTTGGTTGGTCTATTTCAGAAACGTTCACACCTCTCCCCTACCCAGGCTCAAATGGAGTCTGCCTAGATGGGTTGATAATAGACACTTCAACATTACAAAATCATATAAATGTACTAATGTCCATGAGAGCCATACAGAGAGACTGGAACTCATAGAACCAGATAGTTGAAACTTAAACAGCATTTAAGGTACTAGGGTTTCAACTTCACACTAGCTAGACCAATACTCTACCACTTGAACCACATCCTCAGGCCTTTTTGCTTCGGTTGTCTGTTGGGTAGGATCCTATTGTTTTTGCCTGCGCTAGCACAAACCATGATCTTCCTATCTATGCTACCAAAATACCTGGGACCACAGATGTGTGCCACCATGCTTAGCTTATTATTGGAGATAGGATTGTGATCATGTTTTTGTGTGTAAACTATCCTTGAATCATAATTCCCTTATCTCTGTCTCCTAAATAGCTGGAATTACAGCTACAGAAAGATATAGGTCTTAAGGCTCTTGGATGGAAGGAGGTACCAAGTTATGGGAAGGTGAAGGGAAAAGTTATACCTTAAATACAGGTTGTCTCACTATGCAGATAAAACTTCTCGAAGGATTTCTTAGGGCTTCTTTTAGAGCAGATGAAAAGTCTGAGCATTGGTGACATTAAATTTTTTCCCAATGGTCTCTGGTGGTTAATATTTCCTGTCTGATTAGTGAGATTCTTAAAGATGAGGATTTAAGCCAATTACATATTCTTTCATTTTTATGATTTTTTTTGTTTGAGATGATGTCTCAGTAGGTAGCCTACTTTGGCCTGACACTAAGATGCTCTCAGCCTGGCGGCTCTATTCTAGGCACAGCATGGTCTGGATCCCACTGAAGTCAGTTTAAAAGAGACAGCAGAGACTCTCTTAGGAGGGATAGGATACCCACAGAGCACTCATTGCCTTTCAGTGGGGGAATGTGAACTGGAAGAGGATGGTGGTAATGGTGATAGTGATGGTGACAGAGGTAATGATGGCAATGGTAGTGGTGGTGATAGTGATAGTGGTGATGGTGTAATAGTGGAGATGATGGTACTAATGATAGTGATGATGGTGACAGTGGTGTTTGTTGTTGTAGTGATGGTGACAATGATGGTGGTGGTAGTGATGATCATGGTGATGGTGATAGTGGTGATGGTGTAATAGGAGATGGTGGTGATAATGATAGTGATGATGGTTACAGTGGTGTTTGTTGTTGTAGTGATGGTGACAATGATGGTGGTAGTAGTGATGATCATGGTGATGGTGTAATGGCGGTGGTGATGGTGACCACATAATAATGGTAGTGATGGTGATGGTAGTGATCATGATGATGGTGATGATGGTGGTCATGGTAATGATAATAGTAATGAGGATGGTGGTGATAGTGATAGTAATGATTGTGATGTCACTGTGGTGACAGTGGTAGTGGTAGTAGTAGCAATGGTGGTTGTGGGAATAGTAGAAGTTGTGATGGCTGTGGTAACGGTGGCAGTTTTGATGGCAATAGTGATAGTGGTGGTGGTTGTAACGTTGAGGTGAGGGTGGTAGGAATGGTGGTGAGGATACTAGAATGTTGGTGATGGGGTGTTTGTGATGATGGTAGTGCTGATGGTGGTACTGGTGGTAGTGATGGTAATGGTGGTGCTGATGGTGGAGGTGGTGAGGGAGGGGTAATTTTTCTTTTTACCAGTTTGTGTTTTTAGTACAGGAACTCATGCTTTGTAATCTGCTGCTACTCCGTCCATTCCCCAAATGTTCACCTTTTACCATCAATATCTTAAGGTAATAGTGTAGGGCACATAGCAGTTACCTTGGTTTTGAGCAGAGTGAAAAATAAGTAGAGATTTCTGGGAGAACAAAGGGTGAGGTTTGGGAGTGAGGAAAGTAGTAGAAGGCAGGCAGCATGAACTGAACTCTTCCTCCATGGGTTCCTCTGGGCAGGCTCCCACATCGGAGGGGAGCAAAACTTGTTTTAGTTACCATAATGTCTGATGACCACAACACTTAGTATAGTTGCTCTACAATGTTGCCAGATGTGAACAATGCAGATCAGGGGAAATACCCACGGGTCACATCCATGTTTTGGTGATTTTTCTTGTGAATCATCTGTGATTTCTGTGTGATTAATTTCTTACTATGCTTGGTAATAAGGCAAAGTTGCATTTCCTGAACTCCTAAAGAGGCTAGCAGAGAAGAGTGAATGACCTGAGGCCTGGAGAAGGAGCCCTCTTGGAAGTATTTGTAATGACTGGCAGGGGGAACTTGAGGCCTTGTGGAGGAGAACCAGTAGCTTCAGTGGGGAAAGGAAAAAACAATCAAGCCTGATTTATATGTTGTTTTGGAAAAACTATATTGTATATTTTCTAATCCCTTTGGTATAACACTGAATATTTCAAAGAGAATTGACTACAAAGGTTTGATTTCCTCTCATAAAGATGTCAGTTTGGTTGATGGTATCACAGGAAAAATGGAGCAGTCATCTTTATTATTTGGGACACTTGCTCTTCTGACTTTCCTTCATTTCTCAACTTCAGATCACTTCACTTCTTAAAAACTTTTTCTAATAAAACTTCAATGATTAATGACTTGAATTGTCCTTATTGCCTCCCTCAAAGTCTAGAGTTTTCATAGGAAAAGCTATGGGAGTCTCAAAGTCCTTTGACCTGGAAGAGCTTGCTCTAGATCTTTGTTCCAGACCATATGGAGGATGGCGAGGGAGTTCCTATCTTCATAAATCTTCATATGAATCTGTTGACTGGTCTGTCTTTGCACACAAAGCACGGCAACATATTAAAAAGCTTATTAGAACCTACCAAGTCCTGGCTGTTTGACTTTTACTGCATAATCTGATTTGGCATTTTAGTATTCCTTGGCCCAGATACATGTGACCATCACATTGTTTTTCCCCTAGTACAGACTCTGTCCAGCATCTCAGAACCAAAGGAGGTAGCAGGGATAGAAAGAACTCAACCTCCTCACCTCACAGCGATGTTCAAAGCACAGAGGCCACTTCTTGTTCAAGTTCTCCCCCAAAT